GGCAGATATTCTGCTTTAATAACAGCAAAGTGACCAAATCCCAATACTACAATCAATTAGTTCATTGGAAAAAAAGACTGAGGCAATGAAACAAACCCTTGGTGGTGATAAAAAAAGCAGAGTGTTTTGGGCTTAGACCAGGTTTTAAGGCTGGCTGCAAACCCACCACTCAGCCACGTAGCTCACTTGGGCCATGGCTGGGAAATTTTGGGAGACTGCGGGATGAATCACAGAGACGTCAGTGGATGTATAATGTCCCGCTTGGTGCAGTGGTTAGGAGCGCGGACTCTAATCTGGAAGAACCGGGTTTGATTCCCCACTCCTCCACATACAGCTGCTAGTGTGACCTTGGGTCAGTCACAAGTTCTTTCAGAGCTGTTCTCTCAAGAGCAGTCCTCAAAAGAGCTCTCTCAGCCCCACCTACCTCACAGGGCATTTGTTGTGGGGAAGGGAAGGGGGATTGTAAGCCACTCTGAGACTCCTTTGGGTAGAGAAGGGTGGGATATAAATCCAATCTCCTCCCCCTCCTTCTTCATTGAGTCCACCCTCCTAAGCATCTGTTTTCTCCAGGGTAACTGATCCTTATAGTCTGGAGATGAGCTATACTTTTTTTTGGGGGGGGGGAATCCCCAGGTCCCACTTGGAGGCTGGCATCTCTATAACAGCCTTGTCTAGCTGATAGGTTTGATGAGGGGGTCAGATTTAAGGGGGAAGGTCCATCCTGAGTCCCCTGGAGAAAAGGTGAGATAAAAAGGTAATAAATGTAAGCCTGAAAATTTTTAAAATGACATAAGTAATATGGGGGGGGGGGTGTCTTAACAGGGCTGCTGTTCCACACAAAAAAAGACTCAAATGTCATGATAAATATATGCAGGCACCTTGCTTGATAATTCTTTTAACATCTTAGTTCACAAGCATGTCAAAATTAAATATCTAAATGATGTTAGTATTAGATATGTTAACACACTAATATATAAGCATTTTTAGGAATAATTAATCAACTGAGTGCACTGCATGTTCATTTGTGATCTAACAGCTTTATGTTTAAACAAAGAGTACATTTGTGAAAGCAAAGGGTTTGGTCATGTATGTCTGTAATACATTATGGGCATTTGTAGGTCTCTGCAGACTTATCTCTCAAAAAAGTGACCCCTTCGGGGTCAGAGCGGTAAATAAATCGAATGTATAAATTAATTAATTAATGATAATTAGTACTTCTTTTGGTAACACATGAAAAAGTATTAACCATGATACAAAAAAAGAAAGAAGAGCTGGTTTTATACCCTGCCCGTCACTACCCGAAGGCGTCTCAGAGTGGCTTACAATCGCCTTCCCTTCCTCTCCCCACAACAGACACCCTGAGAGAACTGCTCTTGAGAGAACAGCTCTGAGGGAACTTGTGACTGACCCAAGGTCATCCAGCTGGCTGCAAGTGGAGGAGTGGGGAATCAAACCCGGTTCTCCCAGATTAGAGTCAAACACTCTTAAGCACTACACCAAACTGGCTCTTGCTGTTGAAGTCTTCTCTTCTTCATGGCAAATGAAGAATTAGACTTTCTAAAGATGTATATTTTCTGACTAAATTATGATCATTTTTTGGCTATCAATGTAGAGAATAAAATTAGTTGCACCCAATTAGCTGTCAGGATGCACTTGGCTAGGAACTAAACTACAGGTAGTGAATATATTGAAACTTGCATCATGGCAGCTAGAAAAAAATAACTTTATTCATTTAAAATATTTTCTCCCTCTTTTTAGCCTGTGCATACAGTATCTTAATAAAACATGCACAGAAATATTAAAAATACAGTCATATAAAATAAACACAAGTACATTTTTAAAAAACTGAATGGCTAGACAAAGGCCACATCCAGTCACAAAAGTTGCTTTAGGGAGAAATACCAAAAGCCTGACAACAAAAGAGTCTATCCCCCCCCCACAACCCTTTCCAAATGAAAACAGGGGGAGGAGGCATTTTAAGTAAATTAAGCAAAATTAGTGTAGTTTAAAAAAATCTGAATGAAGCGACGCGACTTTAAAAAAATTAAACTCGTTAGATTGGCCTATTATTTAAGATGGTGCTTTCATTAACACATACATTTCTTCCTGTGGCCAATTTGAACAAATTTGCATGCAGAGACTTCTGCCCTCCCCCCTCCCATGGAATTAATTAATGGAGTGTCTCTTAATAGAGTTAAACTATTACAGAATATATTTGCACGCTATGCTAATTAACTGCCCGCTATTCTCTCTTTGCTTCTCGACCGTTGCGGAGAGAAAACAAGAGTCCTGGTTTCCATGACAACGGCACCCCCGTAAAAGTGCGGGTAAAGGAGCACTACGCGCATGTGCAACACTGCAGCCCATCTTCGATCGCCGTTCCTCTCTCGTACGCACGCAGTTGTGCGAAACGCGAGTGAATGAAGGCCGAACGATGCGCATGCGCAGCAACGGAGGTAACGGGCCTCCGGAAACTCCTCTGAACTTTGCGGCGCGACGGGTTTCCCCTTCCCCAAACTCTGATTGGTTGCGGCAGTGACCCAATGGCGTTGCTTTAAAATAATCTCGTTGCTGGGTAGATTGTTTCGATCGATCACCCGTTTGTGTAACGGGATGCTCCGGGTTAAAGAGTGTGGAAGGTTAAAGAGAAGGAAAAGACTGAGGGATAATATGTAGGCCGACGATGATAAGGGGCAGAGAGGTTTGTGGTCGAGATAGAGCAATCGAGAAATTAACGGCCGGCAGTTATCTCCGCTGAAAGGGGGGCGCGGTTTAAGAGCCCGCAAGGGGGCAGTGGCTCTACCCCCCGGCCCATTTCTATGGATAAGAGATCATCCGTAGTGACGTCACTTCAGGTGTAGGCGCCGCATTTCCGGCGAAAGGCGAGAACTGAGGCGGGGGGGTGGGGCGACAGCGCTGCACCCTTAACGATGCTGAGGCCTCTTGTGAGGTGACGTAGAAGCACTTCCGGTGGCCCCTCGCTCCTTTCCCGTCGGCTGGGAATGTGACTTCCGCGGAATAATACCAGCGCGTAAGTGAAATTTGGCCGCTAAGCTGCCCCGTAGTGCCATTTCCGGCTGTTGCAGCGGTCTCCGAGGCAACGATGGGATGCATACACCTGAAGCTTGGACCGTATGAATATGACTCGGAGGGATTTCTATTCAGGAGGATGGA